CCAACCCCCCGGCACAGCTCCAGCCGTTCCCTGGGTCCTTCCCTGGGCACACAGGGATTGTTGCTGCCCCTCCACAAACGAGCGCCCTGGGGGGAGAATCCCAACCAGCTCCCAGCAAACTGTGAGGAACAGAGGATTCCCTTCAATCTCAGGGGGTGAAGCAGGTGGGAAGGATGAATTCTTTCCTCTTAGGTGATCCAAGGTGAGGAACAGCCCGGGGGTGGTGGTGACACAACCCTGGAATAAAACTGGAAGGATTGCTCCATGTCCTGTCCAAGCCCAGGCTCTACAGGATGAAGAAATGGGACTAAATCCCCAGGGAATGCCCACTCAGTGGAGTGTGAGGGGCTGGGAACAGCACCCACGAGCCACCCTGCAAACCCCCAAAACAACCGAGCCAGGACAGGAATATCCAACCCGGGAATTCCAGTGGGCACAGATTTCAGGAGTGTCACCCACCCCCAGGCAGGAGGAGGATTTGCTGCAGTTTCCACCCATTTGGAGAGTTTGCTCTTATTTTTTATAGAGTTTTTTTGTTCCTCAGTCAAGGGGAAAGGAGAAGCACTGGATGTCAGGGATACACAGGTTATCCTCCCATCCTTTAAGTCATAGCTCAAGTCTGGTTGTTTAGTGAGGCCTAAAAACACTAAATATTCAATACTGGGAAAGAGACAACAACAACAAAACAAGGCAAATCCCCGTTATGTTAATGAGCAAATAAAATCCAAGGCAATGGTGTGGATTTCCAACCAATAGCAGCTTCCCAAGATCTCTGTTTGTTAAAATCCTGCCCCCCATCCATCACCCCGACTGGCATTGGACTGAGAACGGCACCCAAAGGGTTCAGGATTCTTTTCTAAAGCACAGATAAATCACTTGGATCACTGCAGGCTCTCCAGAGTGACACAACCCGGCAGGAATGGTTAATCTCTGTCACAGATCCCCTGATTTGAGAAGTTTTGGGATGGACAGTTCTTCCCACAGCAAAGTTTTGACATTTATGAGCTGCTTTTTACCCAGAAAACCCCAAATCACTCCTGAAACCAGAGATGATCTTCTGCCCACTGACACGTAACAGAGTGCTGGAATCCTGGAGTGGTTTGGGTGGGAATGCCCTTAAAGCCCATCCCATGCCCTGCCCTGCCCGGGCAGGGACACTTCCAGTGCACCACGTTGTTCCAAGTCCCGTCCAACAAGAAGCTCCACATAAATTCCAGCAGCTCCACCAACTTCCCCGAGTCCTTCAAAACCCAAATCACGACAAGCCCAAGACAAAACAGGCCAGGGAAAGGCTTCCAAGTGAGCTGGAAACACGGGAAGAGACCCCGCGGGTCGGGAGTGCCGATGCCAGGGGCTGAACTCCCTTAAGCAGGGGGAAAGGGGGATTTCCAGTCCCAAACGTCGCAGTCGGAGCTCAGGAAACAAAGACAAATCTCTGCAACATTTCCACAGGCACAGGGGAGCAAACACAGCCAGATTCCCGAGGGAAGGAGCCCTGATTTCTGCAGGTGGGATTTTCACGTGGATGTGTCACCGTGATCCGCTTTTATCCTGCAGTTCAAAAGGAATTCTGACCCGGATTCCTAAATTCCATCAAAAGCTGCTCATGGCAGCACAGCCCGAGCCTTGATACCACCACTGACATCCCCAGGAAACAGCAGCAGTTGGAAAACATGCTCCAAAAGGAGCTCTTACCTGGAGAGACACCCATGGAGCACATCCCAGAGTCCTCTTTCCACGGCTTTTATCAGGATTTGGGCCAAATCCGAGCCCGGCTCTGGCTCTACCACCTTTCCCAAGCCCTCCCAGCCATCCCGAAGCGATGCTGCATTTCCAAAGGAAACTCCATCGGGGCAAAGCCTGAATGGATGTTTTGCAACAAAGCCCTCCCTGCCTGAATGCACAGGGAAAAACAACTTCCCTGGAGGCACAGCTCTGTTTACACAGGGAGTGGGAAGCCTTTTCCAGCAGCCCCTGCTCACATCCTGTGGAAGTGGCTGGGATGGGAGCAGGCTGTGCCCCAACGCCTCTGGGAAGCCCTGGAAGCAGAACTTTACGGATCAGCTGGGAATGCACAAACACACCATGCCCGGGCTCCCACCCCAAAGCTGCAGCATCGGATACCTTACGTTCCTGAGTCAAGGCTGGGATAATCCACACATCCCGGGAAGCCCTGGGAGCAAACACCCCTCCGGAAGGCGCAGCCGACAATGGCTGAAATTCCCAAGTCAAAACACAGCTGGAATAAACCATCCCCACCTTCATTCCAAGCCCAGGCAGGGCAGGAACACGTGTCCCGCAGGTGAGGTTCCTCCTGGGGCTTCTCCAACAGCCAAATGCCGGGAAAACCAGAATCCCAGGGACTAAAGGCTGGAGGGAACTCGGATTAAAATTCCAAATCCCACGTGCTGCCTGTAAAATCCACAGGAGCAAATATTCCAGAGCCTTCTCAAAGCCAAGAGCTTCACCTGCCACCACGGACAAGAGACACTGCCCGGGTGGAGTCACCTGCCGGGGAAAACTCCCGGGAATCCGGCAGGAAAAACACACACAAACATCCCTGCTGTGCCAAAACCACCACGGGACGTGAAGGAGACACAAAACCCCTGGAGAATGGGATTGAATCCATGTAGGAACAGCTCCACGTGCCAGACAGGACCATCCTGCCTTGGAAAAAAGAGTCCAAGGCCAGGTTGGACGGGGCTTGGAGCAACCTGGGATAGGGAAAGTGTCCCGGGTTGGAATGGGATGAGCTTTAAGCTCCTTCCAATCCAAACCAGCCTGGGACTCTATGGAACAGCTGGAATTCTGCCCAGGATCCTGCTTTCTCCTCTCCCAGTTGTGACACCAAGGAAAGACCAACCCCAGGGAGACACAATCTGAGGGAACACCACTGGGATTCGGGATCGAGGAAAAGGAAGGAGAGAAGGGAAATGCCAAAATTAAGTGAAAACTCACCAAAATTAAGGGCAAACACACCCAAATTAAGGGAAAACAACCCAAAATCAAGGGAAAACATCCCAAAATCAAGGGAAAACATCCCAAAATCAAGGGAAAACATCCCAAATTAAAGGAAAAATCACCAAATTTAAGGGCAAACACGCCAAAATTAGAGGAAAACACACCAAAACTAAGGTAAACCACTTCAAAATTAGGGGGAAACATGCCAAAATTAAGGGAAAAATCACCAACTTTAAGGGAAAACAGCTCAAAATTAAAGGAAAACACTGTGGTGGGAACACTGAGGGCTGTGGAATGAGGAGATAACAGGGAGTCAGCTCCTGGATTCCCATCCCACTCTGGGACTTGTCTCCAGAAGTGGCTGCACTTTGCCAGGACACTCCAGCACCATTCCCGACCTGGAGCTTTCTGAGGCCACCTGGGAAAAAGGTGAGAAAAGGCCTCCTCCCACCCCGGACCCAGATTTAGGTCAGCAGCACCTCCACCGGAATTCCCTGGAATTCCTGTCCCTTCAGCCAAGGGGAAGAATTCCAGCTGCTGACCTGCCGGGCTCCCAGGGGAGCTCCAGCCTTTTGAATGCCAAGGACATTCCTGGTGATCCCGGGGTTATTCCACACACGGAACACTTCCCCAGGCAAGGGTTTCCACCCCCCTTTTGTTCCTCCTCCAAGCATTCCTTGGAATTCGGGTCCTTAACAGCGAGACACCAAAGCTCTGCTCCTGCCCCTCCTAAGAAACGCCCTTCCCGACTGGAAAACCCCATTGGAAAAGCCAAAGCCGCCCGGGAGAGGTCTGGGCAGCAGGAGATAATCCCTGAGCCCCTGCAGAGACAGGAAAACCATCCCAAATAAAGCCATTCCCAAAAGAGACTGGCAGGGAAAACACTGGCGAGCAACACCCCAAATCCCACCGGCTGCTCCAACACAGCAATCCCAGGGCCAAAATCCAGGGATTTATACACACAGGGGCGAAGGGATGAGAGTGGGGGTGTGGATTCACGGGGAATTACGTGGGAATAACGGGACACTGGGGGGAAATGCGGCTTTTTGGGGAAACAGGGATTTTGGCGGGAAAGGTGGCCTTCTTTGAGGGAAATATGGATTTTTGGGGGGAAATACGGACTTTTGAGGGCAAACACAACTTCTATGGGGGAAACCATGGATTTTTTGGGAGAAGCATGGATTTAAGGGGGGGAACATGGCTCTTGGCGGGAAACGGATTTTAGGGGGGAATACGGCTTTTTGGGGGGAGAAATACGGATTTTTTGGGGAAAACGTGACTTTTGGGTGGAAATAAGGCTTTGTGGGGAATGGCTTCTGGGGGAAACAAGGATTTTTGGGGGGAAAATGGCTTTTTTGGGAGGGAAACATGGCTTTTAGGGAGGGAAACATGGATTTTAGGGGGAAACGGCTTTTGGGGGGAAACAGCTGCTAGAGGGGAAACATGGATTTTTTTTGGAAAAATGGCTTTTCTGGGGGCAAATGTGGCTTTTAGGGAGGGAAACATAGATTTTGCGGGGGGAACGGCCTTTTTTCTTGGACAAATGGCTTTTTCGGAAGAGTAAACAGCTTTTTGAGGGGAAACGGCTCTTAGAGGGAAACACGGCTTTTTCTGGGGGAAACATGGCTTTTGAGGGGGAAGTGTGGGTTTTTGGGAGGGAAACACGGCTTTCAGAGGGAATAACGGATTTTTCAGGGGGAATGGTGGTTTTGGGGGGAGAAACATGGCTTTTGGGGGGAGAAACATGGGGTTTTGGGGGGGAAACACGGCTTTTCCTGGGGCCCTGAGGGAGCCCGGCGCCGCCCCCCCGGGGCAGGGAAGGGGCTTCCCCCTTAGGGGATTGGGCTACACCCCCCGAGGGCTCTTCCCTGCGCAGGGACGCCCCAAAAACCCCTGAGGGGAGGGGGGGGAGGTCTCACCGCACCCTCCTCCCTCAGATGTGGGTCCCTCCGGGCCAGGCCCGTCCCGCCCCATGGGCCCGTCCCGCCGCCCGGGAAGGGCCGCGCCCGTGGGAAGCCGCGCGGTGGGGCCGCTCTCACCTGCCGGCGGGGCCGGGCCGGGCCGGGCCGGGCCCTCAGGGCTGCGGGCGGCGGGGCGGCCGCGTCTCCCCGGTGACGGCCCCGGCCGGCGCCGCCATCTTCGCTCCCCGCCCTCCCGCCGCCGCCCCGGCCGCGCCGGCCGCGCACTGCGCAGGCGCGGCACCGCCCCCGGAATCACGTGACATGGGAGGAACAGGACCGGCGAAGTCGCCATGATGGGAAGGTCAACGCTCCGCACGGGTGCCCGGCCGCCATGTTTGACGGGTCCCGTCGCCATCTTGGGAGCGGCGGGCGGGCGGCGCCGCCATGTTGGGGAGGTCGGCGCTGAGGCGGAGGGGTCAGAGCGGGTCCTGCTCCCTGTCCCGCTCCTTGTCCCTCTCCCTTCCCGGGCTCCCACCCTCATCCACAGCCCCAGGAGGCACAGCGCGGGCACGGGGAGCCTCCCTGCCCAGCCCTGCGTGTTTCCCCCAGCCCTGGAGCCTCCTGAGGGCTCGGCGGGCGGGCGGGATGTGACCCATCCCCGAGCCTGGAGGTCACTGGTACTCCGTTGGCCATGGAGGTGAGGAAAGGAGGGAGCGGAGCCCGTTCCCTGTGGGAACATCCGCTATGTTTTGGCGCCAGTCCCGCTGGCCAGTGGCGTGCGGACGTTATTCCTTAGGGAAGGGGCACAGGGAGTCACCGCCGCCCTCTCTTTGCTCCCACAGAGCTGCATCCCACAGGGAGGAGCCCGCCCGGCATCCCAGGCGCCTTCCCTGCCCGAGGGGATGAGCCAGGAGCCTCGCGGAGAGCTGGGATTGCCTGGGATAGCCCATGGAATGTGTCCCAAGTGCCCCGTGGAGGGCTGGGATAACCCGGCAGGAGACGTGGGATTCACCCCCCACCAGGTGAGTACCACATTCCCAAAGGATCCTAAAGGATGCCCGCGGTCAGGCAGGGCTGGGAATGGGACTTCTTGCAGCAGGATGGAGGGGAACGCCCGGGAAAACGCCGCTGGAACGCTGCATGGGATGGAGCCAACAATGCCCGGCTGCTGGAAAACTCGGTGCCTGTTTCCCTCTGGAAAAATCCCAGAGGATGGGCAGGAACAGCCCGAGGCTGCTGCGCCTTTTCCTCCCGCTCCCAGGGCGGGGGGACGGTGTTTCGCACCCTTCTGAGCCGCCCAAAGAGCTGAAATCCAAGGATTTAAACCTCCCCGAGCGCCGCACGCCCCGGGCTTTGCATCTGGGTTTGTTTGAGCTGGAGGTTTATTGGTGCTTTTAAGGAATCCAGTCGCCATCTGCCGGCAAATGTGGCTGCTCTGGGGGGAAATTCGGGATTTAAGGGCAGTTTCTGTGATTTCCTGGGTGGAAAAGAGGATTTTTAGGATGCTTGAAGGGGCAGGTGGGTTTGGAGTGAGGAAAATGAAATGCAGATCCCATCCCAGACAGCTCTGCGTCGCACAGAGCTTAAAATAATACATCAGCGTGGGGAATATCTTGGGGGTAAATGAGATAAATTGAATAAATTAGAGTTTTTTTGAGGGAAGTTTGATGTTTTTAAAGGTTTGGGCTGGTCCTTGTGCTCCATTAGAGCAGCTGAGGGCTTGGATGGAGAGACACAAATTGGGGATGGTTGAACATGGGAGGGATGAGAGGTTGGATTGGTGGTCAAAATTTCCTAAATTTAGGGGCTGATTTGACCAGGAACCCAAAATTATGGGAAAACACCCCCAATTTATGAGAAAACACATCAAAATTGAGGGAAAACACTTCAAAATTAAAGGAAAGCCCCTCAAAGTTAAGGTGAAAGACCTCAAAATCAAGAGAAAACACGCTAAAACAAGGGAAAATACTCCAAAACTAAGGGAAAAGACCTCAAAATTAAGGGAAAGGACACCAAAATCAAGAGAAAACACCTAAAACTTGGGAGAAAACACACTAAAATTAAGGGAAACGCTCAGAAATTAGGGGACGAACACCTCAAGAGTAAGGGAGAGCACCTCAAAATAAGGGAAAACATCACAAAATTAAGGCAGAGACCCCAAAATTATGCAAAAAGATGTCAAAAGGGAAAACATCCCAAAATTAAGGGAAAACATCTCAAAATTAAGGGAAAATATGCCCAAGCTAAGGGAAAACACAGCAAAAGTAAAAGAAAGTGCCTCAAAATTAAGGGAAAACACCCCAAAATTAAGGGACAACACCCTAAAATTAAGGCAAAGCACCACAAAATCAGGGGAAAATACGCCAAAATTAAGGGAAAACACTCCAAAGCTAAGGGAAAAGACACCAAAATTAGAGAAAGCACATCAAAATTAAGGAAAACACTTTAAAATCAAGGGAAAACACCCCAAAATCAAGAGGGAAAAATCCCAAATAGACACAGAATGCACCAGAATTGAAGGGAAAACACCCCAAAATTAAAGCAAAGCCCCCAAAATTAAAGGGGGACGCCCCGCCCTGCGCTCGGTCCTCCCGCCCGCCAGGAGGCGCCGTCGCGCAGCCCCCATTCCAACCGCCCGTTCCCGCCCTTTGGGCGCGGTGCGCGTGCGCTGCCGGGCGCGGGCGGGGGGGGTGGGGGGCGGCGCGCGCATGCGCGGGGCGCGGGCCCGGCGGCGGACGGGAATTAAAATGGAAGATGAGGAGGTCGCGGAGAGCTGGGAGGAGGCGGCCGACAGCGGGGTGAGCGCGGCCGCGGGGGCCGCCCGGCAGCGCCCGGCACGGTGGGGGGACGCGGGCGGGCGGCGCGGGGCCGCCGGAGGAGGCGGCGGGGCGCGGCGGGCCCGCGGCCGTGCTAGGCCTCTTAAAGGGGCCGCGGCCTCGCTCGGCGTGAGGGGCCCCGGGCTACCCCCGCCCCGCTCCTCGCGACCCCTTCAGCCCGCCTTCAGCGCCGGGGGCGGCTCCCCGCCCGCCCGCCCGCCCCCGGCTGCTCCTCGCTGTCCAGACCCCCTCCCCGCCCGCGCTGGCGGGTCACGGGGGTCGCGGCCCGGCCCCGCACGGAGCTCCGCGTGGTGCGAGCGGGGAGGGCGGGAGCGGTGCGTTCCCTCTGCAGCGCCAGAACGCGCCCCCCCGGCAGCGCGGGGACTCTCGCAGGGCACCTGGGGACCGCGGGGTCACCTCCAGGGCGCTTTTCCCTCTTGTCCTGAGCGCGCTGCTGCTTTAGGGCACAACGTGGGGGCTCCCGGCGCGGCCGAAGTTGTGCCGCGCTCTGAGCGGCGGCTCCGGAGCCGGCGTTCGGCAGCACGTGGGGCAGAGCGGGAGACCCCGCGAGTTTCGGTGGGCGCTGCTCGCACCCAAAATCACTGTGTGAGCGGCAGCGTGGGCGGGGGCTCTGCGGGGAGAGGAAACCTCCCTGCCGGGCAAACCTCGGGCTCGTGAGGGGCCGGGGATCGCGGGGGGCCAGGGGGCACCAGGACCCCCTGGCAGTGAGTTGGGGAGGAGAGAGAACGGGATCCTGGGCAGGGGTTGGGTTACAGCCGGCCGGAGCCAGGGGACAAAATAGAGCTGTAACTCAATGCCCTGAGAGGTGCCAGGGCCCAGCTGGCACCGGGAGCTGCCACTCCTGCCCATGCCAGGGGGCTGCAGTCACTGGGAGCCTCCTGCCCGGCCTCGGAGTTAATCCCAGAGCTCCCAAACCGCTCCATGAAGGGACATGGCTGTTTGTGGGAGCTGGTGATGACTCTGGCCTTGAGTAATGGTTTAAAATGGTCCTGCTGCTCCAATCCCGGCCCTGGGACATCCTTATCCTTCCTGCTGGTGCTTCTCAGGTGGGATTTTAGAGCCCTTAGAAGGAAAAATCCCAGTCACTTGTCCTTTCTCACACCCTTTTCTGGTCCAAACTGCTGGGAGTTTGTGGTTCTACTCAGTGCTGCTGAGCAGGGAGATTCCTTGAGAAATCCCAGAATCATTTGGGTTGGCAAAGCCCTCCCAGCCCATGGATCCCCCCTGTGCCCGATGCCCACCTTGTCCCCAGCCCAGAGCACTCAGTGCCACAGCCAGGCCTTCCTTGGGCACCTCCAGGGCTGGGGACTCCAAACCTCCCTGGGCAGCCCCTTCCAGTGCCTGACCACCCTTTCCAGGGAGAAATTCCTCCTGATGTCCCACCTGACCCTCCCCTGGCACAGCTGGAGGCCGTTCCCTCTCCTCCTGGCCCTTGTTCCCTGGCAGCAGAGCCCGACCCCCCCCCGGCTCCCCCCTCCTGTCAGGGAGTTGCAGAGCCAGAAGGTCCCCCCGAGCCTCCTTTTCTCCAGGCTGAGCCCCCCCAGCTCCCTCAGCTGCTCCTGCTGCTCCAGCCCCTTCCCAGCTCTGTTCTCTTCCCTGAGGAGCAGCTGCAGTTGCAGTTGTTGGGCTCTGGATGCCTGTGGAGCAGTTGGAGCTGTGTGGGAAGGGAGCTGTGTGTGCAGGGCTGGCAGAGGGCTGCCCTCTGGCATGGCTCGGGGGCACAAAGGGGGGTTTCACCCCCTGCCTGGCAGGAGGAGCCCCTCGGCTGCTGGTGGGAGCTGTGGGAAGCTGGGAGGACTGGAGTGGGGGAGGGCCCAGCCTGCTCCTGTGCGGGGTCTGTCCTGCCCCAGGTGGTGCAGGAGCAGTGTGGGACAGTCCCTGCCCTGTGTGGGACAGTCCCTGCCCTGTGTGGGACAGTCCCTGCCCTGTGCTGCTGCAGGGGGATGAAAGGAGGGACAAGGGCAGGAAGAGGCTCTGCTGTGGCACCTGCAGCTCCTCCCGAGGGCAGTGCAGGGACAGCCCCCTCTGCTCTGGGGACACGACAAGACCCAGGGAACGGCTGGAGCTGTGCCAGGGGGGTTGAGATGGATCTCAGGAAAAGGTTCTTCCCCCAAGAGTGGTTGGCACTGACCAGGCTCCCCAGGGCGGTGTCACGGCCCCAAGGCTGCCAGAGCTCCAGGAGGGTTTGCACAATGCTCTGAGGGACAGGAGGGGATTGTTGGGGTGTCTGGGCAGGGCCAGGGGTTGGATCTGTGATCCCTGGGCGTCCCTTCCAGCTCAGAATATTCCATGACTTTCTTCCCTTTTTTTCTGGTTTGCTGTGGGTCTGAGGCAGCACAGGATGGTCCCAACAGAAAGGAACAAGGCAGGGCAGTCGTGGTTGGTGCTCC